CGGAGCCGGTGAAGCCGGAGAACTACGCGAAGAACAGCCTCAACACGTTGAGTTTGAGTCTGTTGCGCGTGGGGCGGATAAAGCTAGTGCTGAACCTCAGCACGGACAAGGTTTACTCGAAGAGCTTGGAGCAGCTGTTCTTGAAGTTTTCGCCGAGCTGCGTTGCTGCGGAAAACGTGTTGCTGGGCGTGAGCGGGAAACACTCGAGTTACTCGGAGTTGTATGGCGTGAGCGAAGAGCACAGCGCGCGTGCGTCGGACTTCCGCCGAGACGGCAGCCACACCGAGCGGTTGAACGGTTCGCGCTGCTCGGAGCACTCCACCGCGCGGCGGCTGGACGGCGGCTCGGCGAGCCGCGCTAGTTTGCAGCGACGGACGCAGATCAGCGACTTGACGACGATGCGGAACGACTTGAGCGCGTTCGTGATCGACAGCATCTCGGTGCAGACGAGTTTGTCGGACGCGGTGATCTTTTTGCCGCCGGTCACGTACAAGTGTTTGTCGGGCCCGGCGAGCAGCGTGTTTACGGAGATCAGCGAGGCGTACACGGGGCGCTTCCTGCAGTACACGGCGAGCGTTTTGGGCGCGATCGACTTGCTGGGCAACCCGGCACTGGTGCTGCGCAACATTTACGGCGGCCTGAGTTACGGCGTGCACGGCCTGGTGACAGCGCTGCGCTACCGCGACACGTACGCGCTGCTGGCGGCGCTGTCGAAAGCGCTTGAGAGCTTTGCGGTCGCGTTCTTCATTGGGTTGAACCGACTTGCGGACAGTTGGCGGCGCGTGTTCATGTTGCTTGCGGCGTGGCCGCTGTACTTGAGCGCCTTCTCGCCGCACTACCACCTGAAGCAAAGCAAGGAGTGGGGCAGCGCGTGTGTGCCGGCGGCGGTGCTGAACTGGCACTACGTCTGCGTGCAGCGGCTCAACGACAACCCAATCGCGTACCACAGTGACCCAGGTTACTCTACCTGGTACAAGGTGTCGAACGCGTTCACGAACGCGGGCATCGTGCTATTGTTCGCGTTTTGCGACGTGTTCCTGAAGCCGAAGCGCGGCCTGCAGCGCGCGATCGCGCACCGCGCGCTGCTAGAGTTCGTCAAGGCGCTGTTGGGCGCGCTGCTCAGCGTGTTGTGCTGTCTGCCGCTCGCGGCGCTGTTCTTGACGGGCTCGGTGACCTCGATTGTGCTGCACAAGCTGCTGGAGTTCGAGGCGGCGGAGCGCGTGCGCGAGCTGCACTACAACGTGGACCTCGGCGCGCCGTACGACGCGGACCTGTGTTACTGGCGCAGTCTGGCGCTGCAGTCGCAGCAGCTGTTCCGCGTGTTGGGGATCAACGAGTCGAGCGCGATCATGGGAGCGACCGCGGGCGCGCACTACATCGTGCCGATCCGACTATCGACGTACGAGTCGCGCGCGCGCACGGGCGCGGCAGTGGTGCTGAACCAGGCGATGCTGATTTGCGTGAACAACGCGCAGCGGCTGTGGGCGGTGCCGTGGAGACAGGTGGTCAGCGTGAGCATGTTGCGGCGCGAGAGCTACCACTTTCTCGCGATACTCGCGGCGAACGCGGAGGCGTACGAAATTCTGATCAGCGACGTGGACGAGTTGCTGGTGAGCTACGCAAGTTTGATCAAGCTGCTGCAGTACGCGCGGCGCTTTGCGTAAAAATGCATTTATGATTTACGCGCAGCGCAATTTCAGAAATTTGCGGCAAAGCTTCGCAGAGTGCTCGCATGCCAGTTTGTTGCGAGTGCGGCGCGCCGGTGGGCTCGCTGTTCCGAGCGATCTCGAAGGCGCAGTTCCGTCTGGCGCGTTGCGGCCGCTGCAACCTGATTTGCGACAAGTTCGTGGAGTTTCAGCTGGTGAACATCCTAATTGAGCTGATCTTGCTGAAAGAGAGCGCGTACCGGCACGTGGTGTTCAACGCGATTCTGGACCCAGGCGCGGCGACGCCGCCGAGCGAGGTCGCGGAGCCGGAGCGCGCGCGGCGAGCGGCCGCTGTGCAGCACTCGACGAACTGCGCGTGCGCCGCGATCTTGGCGGCGGTCTCGCTCGGGCGCTTCTTCCAGACGACCTCGCTGTCGGTCGACGGCGTGGTCGCCAAGCTGTTGTTGCTGTCGGGCGTGTACCCGCTGTACTACAAGTGGTGGGTGTGGCGCGTGCTGTCGGGGCTGCTGGAGTTCTCGGCGTTCACGCTAGCGACATCGCTGCTGTCCTTCGCGTTCGTGAAGGTGGTGCCTCGGAGTGGCGCTGCGCCGGACGCGGCCGCGCTGCAGGGCGTGCGGCTCGCAGACATTCTGAAGGCGCTGACGGCGCTGCAGTTCTGTCAGACGGTCCCGGCGCTGATCTGCATTTGGAGCCGCGGGCCCGACACGACGTTGGCGATAAACCTGTACAGTTTGAGCAGCTACGCGCTGGCGCTGCGCGTGCTGACGCTGCAGAACTACACGGCGGCGTTCTGGATTTTGCTGCTGGGCAGTCTGTCGCGCGAGCTGGTGTCTTGGTCGCTGTTCGCGCTGATCAAGAGCTACGAGCTCGGGTAGCTAGTGCGAGAGCAGCGTCTTGGCTTTCCAGATCAGCGTGCTCAGCAGGTCGGGCGAGCGGTTGCGGCTGAGTTGGTAGCGCGCCATGACGTCTTTCGCGGTTTCGGCGTCGTACGTCGCCTTTTTGCAGAGCTCGCACAGCGCGGCTTCGTGTTCGGCGAAGCCGCCTTCGAGCAGCGCCTCGATCTCGGTCGCGACGCTGCAGAGCCGCGGGTAGATGCAGCTCTTTAGCACGTCGAGTTCTGCTTCGCGGTCGCTGCGCGCCGCGAGCCGCAGCGACGGCGGCAGCTCCGCGAAGCGGCCGTGGCTGAAGGGCGTCGGCTGGAAGAAGCGGCTCGGGCTGGCTTCGAACGGGGCGCAGTCGTCGTGCGGCAACTCGAGGCTGAGCTCCTCCAGGAACGCCTGGATGTTTTGGCAGCACCGCTGGATCACGCGGATGCAGTTTTTGATGTTCGCGCTCTGCAGTCCGACCAGGCACAGCACGTCGGCGGGTTCGTCGCGCGGCAGTTCGTGGCTGCGCAGCGCGCGCAGACTGACTTTGCAGCTCTTCCAGTACAGCACGAGCGCCTTCAGCCCGAGCACCCAGTCGTTGTAGCTCGAGGCGCTCAGGAAAGACAGCACGAGCGTCTTGTTGCCGTACACGACCTCCACGGTCAGCTTGCTGCGGTCTTCGCTCGCGGCGGAGTGCTCGAGCTCCGCGGCGTTCGCAATGTGCTTCACGTCGCGGAGCGGCACGCGGTCTGCGGTGAGTTTGCTGCTGCTGATCCAGCGCAAGTGTTGCAGGTCGCGCGAGAGGAAGAAGTAGCGCACGTGCGGCACGTCGAAGAAGCTGTGCTTCACGAGGTAGTCGCCTTTCAGCATCATCAGCACGCATTTTTCCGCGCGGAAGATGCTCAGCGGCTCCAGAAGTTGTTCCTCTTCGTCGCGCGGCGGCGCGGCAGTGCCCGCGGCGGCGCCGCAAGCGACGACTTTGAACAGACTGGCGACCGGCAGCGCGCCGAAGTCTTCGGCCGTGTACACGCGGCCTTTCCGAAACCAGACCCGGCGGCAGTCGGGGTCACGCACCGTCACCTGCAGCAGGCTGCCGCCCTC